GCCATTTTGATGAATTTTTCAATGATTTCCAGTGATTTTCTTGCTGAGTCTTTGGGATTATTAAGTATAGGATCATGTCAGGGTTTGCTTCTTCTTGTTAGGTGGCATTGAGTTGGTTCTGACTGGTAGAGACACTCTGCACAGCTGAATGAAACACTGCCTGGTCCTGTGTGCTCCTCACAAGGGTTAGCTTTAAGTCCATAAGGCTTTGCACGTCTCTCAATCCAATCACCATCCTCTATAAAAGAAGGTAACAGTACCTGCCTCAAATCCATGAGCTCTGACTGTCTCTGAGTGGATTCCAGCTCCTAGTGACCATATAGGACAGAGTACAGCTGCTCCACAGGGCGTCCAGGGCTGTCACTCTTTACTGCAGAAAACTGCCTGTTCTTTCTCCCATGCTGGTAGGTTTGAACTGCCAACCTTTCAGTTAACCATGCAACAATTAACCATCTATGCACCAGGGATCCTTGTACCTACCTCTCCCCCACTGCCGTGGAGTCGGTTCTGACTCATTGCTACTCTATACGTTGTTGTTAACTGCCATAGAGTCAATTCCAACCCAGAGCGGCCCTGTATAGGGTTTCCAAGGAGCAGCTGATGAGCTTGAACCACCAACCTTGCAGTTCAAACGACTCTGCAGTCTGACACAGTAGCGTACAGTGCTATACCAGGACTTTACTAGCTACTCTATATGTTGTTGTTGTTAGGTACCATTGAGTCAGTATCGACTCATAGTGACCCTAACTAAGCACAGCAGAATGAAACACTGCCCGATGTTGGGTCAACCTCACTAGTGTTGCCACTATTGTTGACTCTATCAATGCTGCCACTTGGCCAATCCATCTCATTGGGGGTCTTCTTCCTTTCTTCTGACGCTGCACCTTCCAAACATGATATCCTTCTCCAGCGACTAGTCCTTCCTGACAATATGTCCAAAGTATGAGAGAAGTTTGGCCATCTTGGCCTCTAAGGAGCACTCTGGCTGCACTTCTTCCAAAACAGATCTACTCTATATAGGGTTTCTGAAACTGTCAATCTTTATGGGAGCAGAAAGCCTCATCTTTCTCCTGTGTAGTGTCTGGTGGGTTTGAACTACTGGCCTTGCAGTTAGCAGTCCAGTGCTTACCCAGCAGCACCACCAGAGCTCCTCATATTTACCTCAGGGATAGGTAAAGAATTTGCTGTTGTTTTTAAGTGCTATAGAGCTGGTTCTGCCTCATAGTGACCCTATATAGGGTGTCCAGGGCTGTACATCTTTACTGGAATAGAAAGGCTTATCTTTCTGCTGAAGTAAAAGATAAAATGTATGAAAAGAACACCTAACAATCAGTACTCCTTAAACAGCCATTCTGTTCTACCAGCATAAAATTGATTGAGAATTTGCATTTTTAATCCTCCTCCTCACTCAGGTCTGAAATTTTTTATTGCATCCCCTAGCCTGGAAGACTTAATTTTAAACACAGCTGTCTCCTGTCCAAATTTCTTTCATTTGTCCTGTCAAAATGAAGTTGTTTACAAAGATGTGACGCTCTGAGCAATTTCAGGTTGTGTTGGGCTCCTCCTTGTGGCATGTTTTAGGAATTACATGTGACTCTAACTCCAGTTAGGGAGATTTGACTGCATTAGTAACCACAGGGTTGGCAGTTCAAACCCACCAGCTGCTCCTTGGAAACCCTATACAGGGTTGCTAAGACTCGACGGCATTTAACAACAATTGTGTGCATTTTTATGTTCCTTATTATTCTCTTTGAGTTTGCTTTTAGATGACTTCATAAGATAAAGTTTTTATTTTCTTACTTTAAAAAACAACTTTAAAAATTGATTCAAGGCTAGTCGATACGATTTTATACTGGAAATCAGTGACAGATGTCCTGCATCTGAATTCTTCTGGCCACAGGCTCTCTACTGTCACAAATGAACAAGTGAATGTTCATGGGAAAAAAATGCATTGTTAACAAAACACATATAGTGATTTGGAGTCCTGATGTGGCGCTGTGGGTTAATGTGCTGGGCTACAATGTTGGTTTGAACCACAAGATCGGCAGTTCAAACTCATCAGCCACTACTTGAAAGCCCTATACTGGGTCGCTATGGGTCAGAACTGACTCGATGACATTTGACAACAACAACAACAACAATATAGTGATTTATAGTTTATGAAAGCACACTGTCTTTTCTACATTTGAGTGGATCCTGACCAAATGTTATTATCCCTTTTAATAAATGATTATTTGTTGTTGTTGTCAGGTGCCATCGAGTCAGAACTGACTCATAGCGACCCATGCACTGCAGAATGAAACAATGTCCGATCCTGGGCCAACCTCACTACCACTGCCACACTTGACGACGCCATCAATGATGCCACCTGGCCAATCCATCTCGTTAGGGGTCTTCCTCTTTTTCTCTGACCCTCCACCTTACCCAGCATGACATCCTTCTCCAGC